AAATGAGAGCACGTGAGTAAGCGCCCAGCTACTCCACCTGTGTGGGGTGCTGCCAAAAAGACCCGCTTCTCTCTCACCCCATCCAGAATACTGAGGTGTGCTGCATGGCTGGGGGACAGGAAGTGGCTGAGAGAACAGCAGCCAGGGCTCTCAGATGGCATCAAAGGAGCACGGATCCTACTAACTGCTTCGCAGACTCTTAGGAAGCCTGCCAGTGAGCCGCTGGGGACTCCTCACTTGCAGATCCCCCAGCTGGCCCACAGGCACCCCAACATCCCACACACCTCACCCACATACACCTCCAACCTACGGCCGGCTCCCTTAGAACACCACTGATGGTGGCAAGTGTGAGCCTTTGCAGAAAGCTAGTGAGCATGCACAGAAAGCCAGTCTGACTGTGGGATTGGGAGAAAACACACAAACTTGAGCATTCAGCATTGCCCTAGGAGAAGCAAGCAAAGAGGAGGCTGTCAGCACTCAGCCTGGCTTTCTAGGATCAAGAGAAGACATAAAATCTTAAGAATTCCCTCACAGGAGGGAACAAGAGGTGTGGAGCAGCTATACCCATAGAAAAGGTCTGAGAAAGCCTCAGAATCCCTAGCAGTCCTGACAGAAGGTATTTCTCTCCAAAAGCTGGTCAGCAAAGACTGGAGTAGGTGACCGCTTCCTCAAATGCAACGACAGCAATGCAAGATTTCAAGGAACTTGAAAAATCAAGGAGACCTCACACCACCAAAGGAACACAATAGTTTTCCAGTAACTGATCCTAAAGAAATGGAGATCTGAGATTTGCTTGAAAATAATTCAAAGTAGTTGTTTGAAGTGAGCTCTGTGAACTACAAGAAAACACAGAAAGACAGTTCAACAAAATAAGGACAACAGTACAAGAAGAAAATGAGAATTTTAACAGAGATAGAGATCAAAAATAACCAAACAGAAATTCTGGAGCTGGAGAATACAATGAGTGAAATGAAAAATGCAGTAGAGAGCATCAGCAACAGACTGGATCAAGCAGAAGAGTCTGTGTAGTAGAAGACAGATCATTTGAAATTATCCAGTGAGAGGAGAACAAGAATGAAAAAGAATGAAAGAGTGCAGAAAGCCTACGTGAACTATGGGATACCATTAGGAGAAACAATCTACACATTGGAATCCCAGAAGGAGAAGAGAGGGAGAAAGGGGCAGAAAGCGTATTTAAAGAAATAATGGCTGAGAACTCCCCAAATCTGGGGAGAGATTTGGATATACAAGATCATGAAGCTCATGAGTCCCCTAAAAATTTCAACTCAAAACTATCTTTTCCGAGACACATTATAATAAAACTATCTAAAATTAAAGATAAAGAGAAAATTTTAAAATCAGCAAGAGAAAAATAATTTCCTGACATACAGGGGAACCCACATATAAGGCTCACAGTGAATTTCTCAGCAGAAGCCTTGCAGGCCAGGAGAGAGTAGGATGATATATTCAAAGTGCTTAAAGAAAAAAACTGCCAACCAAGAATACTTTACCTGGCAAAGTTGTCCTTCAGAAATGAAGGAAAGAGAAAGACTTTCCCAAACACACAAAAGCTGAAGGAGTTCATCACCATTAGAGCTGCCTTACAAGAAATGGTGAAAGGAGTTCTTCGAGTTGAAATGAAAGGATACTAATTGGTAACATGAAAACATAAGAAAATGTGCAACACACTAGTGAGGGTAAGCATATAATCAAATTCAGAATACTTGAATACTGCAATATGGTGGTATGTTAATCACTTAACTCTAGTTTAAAGGTTAAAGGACAAAAGTATTCAAAACTATAGCTACAAGTATTTATTAAATGGCTACATAACATAAAAAGAGCTAAATTGTGACTCAGAAACATAAAACGTCAGAGGGGGAGTAAAAGAGTTTTTGTATACAATCGAAGTTATCAGCTTAAAATAGACTATTATGTCTATAAGGTGTTTTATGTGAGGCTCAAGTAATCACAAAGCAAAAACCTACAGTAGATACACAAAAGATAAAGAGGAGGGAATCAGGGGCCAGCCTGGTGGCACAGGTGGTTAAGTGTGCGCGCCTCGCTGCGGTGGCCTGGGGTGCGCCAGTTCAGATCCCAGGCACACACCGAGGCACTGCTTGTTAAGCCATGCTGTGGCGGCGTCCCATATAAAGTAGAGGAAGGGGGCACAGATGTTAGTCCAGGGCCCATCTTCCTCAGCAAAAAAGAGGAGGATTGGCATTGGATGTTAGCTCAGGGCTGGTCCTCCTCACAAAAAAAAAAAAAAAGAGGAGGGAATCAAAGCATACCACTGTGGAAAAATCATCAGTTCACAAAGGGAGACAGCAAGAGAGGAAGAAAGTAACAAGGGCACTACAAAACAGCCAGAAAACAACTGATAAGATGGCATTAGTAAGTCCTTACCTATCAATACTTACTTCAAATGTACATGAATTAAATTCTTCAATCAAAAGGCATAGAGTAGCTGAAT